AGGGAGAGTTTTCCTCCACGCTTCCTCTGGCATCCTTGCTCTGTCGTTCCCCGGAGCCCCGAGTAAAGCGCGGCTCTCGCCGGAGAGCCCAACTTCCCCCTTTCCAAGCCCCTGTGCTCCGCTGTCAGCCCCGTGTCCGTGTCGCTGCTTTGCCGCGATGGCTGCGTGTGTCCCGTGGGGCTGTGACACGCGCACGGGCAGCGTGCGCTGTCCCTCTGCCCTTCTGTCAGGTGCGAGTGCTCCAGCAGAAGCCTCTCGCTCCCCTCTGTGCAACTTGCGGCCCCTGAGGGAAAGGGCATGTCGAGGTAGCACCGAGTCGTCCCGCGGAGCCGCTGCTCCCTGTCCTGTTCCGCAAGCTCTTCCCGGGGGCTGGAGCGAGCTGCCGAGTGGCGCTAACTTGTCTAGCTGCGGTGCCGGGGTTGGCGCCTCGCGCAAGCGGTTCCTGCATCTCCGCCCCGCGCTGGTGCGCCGAGCTCGCTCACCTGGGCGCACGTGCGGGCACCGCCGCGAGCGCCGCGCGCAACCTCATCGAGCTGTTGTTGATGTCTCCTTCAGGCCTGAAATTCCTCTCGCTAGTCTTCCGTTCTGTTAAATGCCTCGCAAACCAGAGCAAAGGAAGAGACGTGAAGAGTTGAATTTCACTGCCCTGTTTGGAACTGGGTGGAAATCCTGGAGATGGATCTCTTAGGAGACTGTCTTCCATTTGGGTTAGATGCACAGGTAACAAGTAAAGGGACTCATGGCTTTTTTTTTTTTTTTTTTTTTGTAAATCTGCTTCTAATTACTGTATGTTTGCAAAGAGCTCCGAAATTGTGATTTAGGGTTTGATGTGGTTTTGTTGATGGTGTTTTTTTCGTTCTTTCCGCCATCATTTTTTTTGTCCAATTTTGTGCAGTAAGAGAGCTCAGGAGAGTTCGCAGTGACAACTTTGGCTGTCCTGCTTTAAAAACTGATACCAGCAAATAGTTTTTTTTCTTTTCTAATAGGGTGAACCAATAATGCAGATTTACTTTAAGGTAAGAGGGGTGATGAAGCAATTGGGTTGCCAAGTTTGGGATATTTTCTTATTTGAGGTGAGAGAAGAAAAGAGAACCTGAAGGGAGATGTGGCCCTTTAGCAGGGGAAAAAGTTCTGGAGAGCTTGACAGAAACAGCTTTGCCGACTCTTGTGGGTTTTGCAACCATTAGGGTTTCTTAAAAGGCTGGCATTGCAGCCGTGTGATTACAGAGCTTTGCTTCGTCAATAAATAATGGATGGGGGGAAAATGAATGGGATTCCGCAGAGTTCAGGCGCAGCAGGCTAGAGCAAAACAAATCCCGAAGCCTTGGACCGGCTCAGTCTGAGGGACTGGGGTTGGTTTCTAGGACAATGTATTCCCAGTTTCTCTGGGCTGCGGTAGGTGGTTGCTTCCCGCACCGTGACCAGTTGTGGAGTGGCAGCCTTAGGCACACGGTAACTTCCGTGTTGTCTGGCCCAGCACTCCAGGACTTCCCCCAAAGTCCTGGTCTTCATCACTGAGTCACTCTCCTCTCCTGCTCGTGTGGATGGACAGCGCTGGGAGGGAAACGGGCATGGAAGAAAGGGCTGTGTTTTCCTGTTGAAGTGGAAGGCATTCTCTTCTGGGCTGCATTCCTGTTGTGTCTTAGCTGTTTCCTCAAATGTCCTTTCATTGCAGGAGGAATGGATCGCCCCAACTACATGGAAGAGGACTATTCTAGCCTGGATGGGCTGGACGATGACGTGTTTCACTCTGATGACTTTGGACTTGCAGGTCAGCCTGGTGAGATGACTGCAACTGGCATTTTCACACAGAACAGCTGCCTTCTGGGGAGGTTTCAACTATTCCCCCTCACACACTGCTGTGGTCCCGGTAGCAGGCATCCCGAGCAGCAGGACAAGGCAACTCAAACACTCAGCCCGTCCTCTTCCAGTCAGGATGTTATGTTGCCTTGTGGAGTCACTGAAGAGCCCCGGAGACTCTTCTATGGTAAGAGCACTCCAGTGTCACCAGCTTCGCAGAAAGCAAACTGTCCATTTAGCACTTCCCCGCTCAGGCCAAGATTCTTTCATTAGGATGTTTAATTAAAGGATTCCTGTTGTTTTGCTGTGGCCCTATTCCGTGGGGAACACAGCTTATACTTTCTAGCCCTTACCTGCCCATTGTAGGAACCAGGCACTTGCTCATTGCTTCTCCTGTCTTTGATGCTTTTCTGGTTCTATTCTCTTGCATTTTTTTTTTTTACTGATAGACATTTAAGTGCTCGTCATGCCTCGTATCATGCCATTTGCCTACATCTTCTTTACCTCTTATGCTGTCTCTTCCACATAAGAAGACTCTTAGAAAATCTCAGTGGAGAGAAGGAAATGTAAAAGTTTACATTTAGTGGGACAGGTTTTAGGTTCTTTCCTGGAATAAAGGTTGTTTGATAAGTAGGATGTCTGTCCAGTATTTTACTAGTAACTGATGGGACACCACTCAGTTTTATGTATCCAGTTCAACTTTAATTCAAAGCAGTCCCACTAAATGCCAGAAAAGTGAGAAAGTCTGACAGAAAGGATACAGCAACATTTAATGGGAGACTACTTGAGACAGAGATGTTGTAAAACTATAAAAATGTCATTAAAAAGAATCTCAGTGCTTGGCTGAACTATGAATAAGTAAAAACAACTGAGAGTAAGATCTTGCCAGCTGTTTGATTATGGGAAGAAACAAATGCTCTATTTAATCAATATAAAGATACTTAAAACTGAGTGAATATTTGCTGCATGCTTAGTGTGCGTAGTAATCTTTCAGCTTCAGAAGCTGGACTTCTACATGAGTCACAAACCTAGGGTCGTGTGCAGTCCTTTCTTCCATGAAGTGTACTGAAGGATTATTCTTTGTGCTGGAAGAATGACACCTCGTACCCCTGTTTTGTAGGGAATGCTGGTTACCGTTTACACGTTCCTCCGGTTGGCTTTGCATTGGATCCCCGCCTCCAAGAGGAGCCTCAGGAAGCCCAGCGGGAAGCCCGTGCTGAGGTGCAGATTGCACGGAAGCTGCAGTGCATTGCAGACCAGTTCCACCGGCTCCACATGCAGAGGGTAGGGCGTTTCTGGGGGGAAGGTGGCGAGTCAGTTATCCCGGAGCCGTACTCGAAAAAGGCTGGCTCCAGGCGTTAGCTAAGCAGTCTGAGGCAGCAGACTGCTGGCAGCAATAAATTGTATGGAGTGCCACTGTGTATTTTGTTTATGCTAGACTGATGACTCTTCCTAAACATGGATGGAAAGAGGGAAGAGGACATGTGGGGTTGCATTTACTGCTTGGCACAGTATCCCATCTGACATTTGTGCTTGCTATTCCAGCTCTTGCAGTTGATCAGTGACAGGATTGCTGGAGCTTTCTCCAGGACTCTCCCCTTGGCTTTCTGTCACAGTGCTTACTCTTCTCTACTCTCCTCACTCTCAGCATCTTCTCTTCTGTAGTGCAAGTGGCGTTTTCTGACTTATCTCAGCTTCTCATCTTGGCAATGGCAGAAAGCCTAGAGTCTGTTTTGATGCTCTATATTGTCTATGGGTAGTAGTCTGAAATGCTGAGAAGTATATTTAGATCATGCAAGACTGGCTAGTAACTCTTTTCTGAGACAGTCCTGGTTAGTGTGTCTCAGACTTCTGACTAACTTCCTCACAACAAAAGACAGCTGTAAGATGCCATCAGGTTTGAAAACCACACTCCAGAATCTTGTTTTTGTTTTCTTTAAAAAAGAAGAAACTGTTCTTTTCAAAGAAACAAAGCAAAAACAACACCCTTAAAACTCTGATTCTTCCTTCCTTGCCCTCCTTCCCCTGTTGTATAGTGGAGAAATGGAAGTCCCAACTTGTGCAGAGTTTGGCAGAGGAGGTTAAAGTGCAGTTCAAGGAACCCTTTCTCTACTCTATGCAAACCCAGCAAGAAGAGATGTATCCACTTGTTTGTGAAGAAGCTGTCACTCTCGTTGATGTCAGAAAGTCACAGAAAGCTCTCACTCCAAGCGAGTTGCTCTGGGCTTTGACACTCTATTAGCTATGGGCTCTGTTGCAGTCCTCCTCAAAGGTAAGGGAGGAACTCTTGTCCTGGTTGGAGAACATGGCTTGTGCTCGGCAGGGTTTTGGTCCTCTCTTTGGCATGAAAGAGATGAGGCAGTTCTGGGACTCTGGGATTGCTGGGTATCCTCAAGCAGCAGAGGGATTAAAGGAGCCATAGCGGAAAGTTTATCTGTAGAAATGTAGCTTGTTGGGGCTATGAATGTCATTCTGCAAACCTGAGAAACAACAGACTCCCGTAAGCTTTTTAGCATATGTTGTGTTCAGTTGAGTGGGGTTTTCCCCACTGCTGCCTTTTCACCAGCAAGAGCTGAAGGTTGTGCGCTGTGTAGCTAGATTTTCGCAACAAAGGCAAGGTTAACCCTCCTGCGAGAAGTCCTGACGTGAAGCTGTGGAACTGGTTGTAACTTGACCCCTTTCATGTGGGGAACGCACCTATCTGATGTCTGGGAAAAGCGTCAAAGAATGCCCCCCAAAAATGCTCTCTAGAAACCTGCCCTTGCTCCAGCTCTCCACAGCGGCACAGCCTCAGGCGAGGTGTGTGTGCTGTGGGGGCTCCGCTGTGGCGCGGGCTGCGCGTGCCGTGGGGGCTCCGCGCACCGTGCGCAGGACTGTGGCCAGCGCTGCGGGGCCGGGCGAATCGCGTGTCAGCCAAGCATGTGGGAGAGTTAGTAAACAAAAGCAAACGCCTGCGCTGCCCCGCTGTGCAGCCAGCAGAGGAGGAGCTCGCCTGGCTTTGTTTGAACTGGAAGAGCAGCAAGTTGTAAAGGAGGGGGGGGGCCATTCAGCCCTTTAAATAAATAAATAAATTGGATTTAACCCAAAGATGGGATAGTTCAGCCAGTGGTTCTCCACAGCCTGACCCTGGGATAGGCCTTGGCATTTGGAGCCGTTAAGGGATTCTTTTTTGTTTGTCAGGGAAACTGAATACTGAGCCACATATTGGTGTCCAAGGCACTGTTCCTCATGGGGTTTGTTGTTGTGCCCGGTCCCTTCCCACCCAGCCCTACATGGAGGATTTCCTTTGGCTTTTGGCATAGATCTCGTGTGTAGAAGCCCCTCTGTCCTGCGTGCAGTGACTCTTCCCGGCTTGTTGCTGAAGAAGCAGTCTGCCCCTGGAGACACATGAACTGGATTACAATGCATTGTGGTTTGGAAAGGGTAATCTTGGAGACATGGAAAACTGGGCTGTCATTTGTCTTGCTGTGAAACTAATCTCAAGAGTTGGTGCCCCATTCCAGCTTGTCTCAAACATTTGGTCAAAACCGACTGTTTTCCAGAGTGGTGTCTGGAATCAGATTTAGAATACCACAAAGTTAGTCACACCAGTGTGGTCTTGTGAAGTCCTGATAGAGAGCAAGCCCAGTTCTCACCAGGCTTTGCCTCTTTGGAGCCTGCAAAATGTTTTATGTTGGAACCTGTGAATAGAAAGAGTATGTGCTCCTTCAGCTGGAGTTCAGAAGGGTTTACAATTTTGGATTAATGCATCCAGCCAGCTCAAGAGTTGCCTCACATGGTTCTGGAGTTCTGCAAGGCTCTCCAGCAGTTCAGGCATGGCACCTGCCCTGCTGCAGCAGCAGGGCTACATTGACATTAAGGCTGCTAGTTACTCTACATCCCTGGCTTTGAGAGGAACAGAGCAGGCAGTAGCTACTGAGTCTGACATCACCAAGTTGTCGTTGGACCAGGCTGCACGCCTGGTCTAACCCCATCCCACATCAGGAACACTGGAGAGTCACTGTTATCTCTTCCCGGGGCTCCCTGAGTTGTGTGGTATTTATTTTGTGGTTCTTGGCCATACAAAAGATTTTTGGGCATGTATCCGTAAGAACAAGAAAGTTGGCCGCACCTATGCTTACTTTTGGCATGTACACAATTTTCAGGGTTTCATTTCCTATTAATATATTAAACAGAATACAGTAACTTAAGACCTGGCATTTTTATTCTTAGCACAGTGCTAGAACAATAATGCAACTTTCCCAGTGCTCTGCAGATGTAATCTCTAAGATGCTGAGCTTACTATTGCAGAGACTTGAGGAAAGCTCTGCATTGTGAAGCAGCACTTAGTCCATTTTGCAAAGCGCTCCACAGAATGATATGGGGGACCCATCTATGTGGGAGCCATCCAGCTCTTTAATACCTCTTGTCAGGAGCTACACTGACAGGTAGTATTCCCTCCACAACACTTTACTCACCATTCACATAGAAAACAAAGGTGGAGCCCAACTGTACTTCCCGAGGGAGAACCTTGTACCAACCACATTGTGCTTGAGTTGGAACAAGTATGCCTAGGGGGAGAAGGCTGGGCTTGCCATGGGCTCTGTGCCCTCTGTCTGAAGTGCTTGCTGTGTCCTAGCCTACAGCTGATCTTAAAGATGTGCTCTGTGGTTATGGGAGGTGGAGCGGAGTTTACAGTATCTGGTCAGTCAGTTGCAACGTGCTACCTCTTCCCTACGTGTCAAGACCATGGGCCGAGTGCTTGAGCTGCTCCTTAGGCTCTGAGTGCATGCGAGTTCCTTTGCTGTGAGAGGGGGCTTTAACTTGTGCTGAACTGAGAATGTGTTTTGTGATCAGATATACTGCTAGATGGGACATGAATAGAGAACTAAACAGTGGCTGTAGTGCAAAGCTCCTATAGGAGCACATAGGATATATGAGTGAGGAGAATCAGACTGTACATTAGTATCACGCCTCTTAGTTTAGCTTGCTCCGTTAAGGCATTGAAACACTACAGATTTTTTTTTTCGAAATAACTCTAAGCAGGCTGCAAATTTGAGGGCCCAGTTTTATCAGATCTCTTTGCAATGATAAGATCATTTCACAGGGGATAATGTTGTCCCTTTAAGAGCTAAGGAGTGGTAGCCTTGAACAGTTCTGGGCTGGCGTCCAAGCGGAGCCACTGACTTGCTGTATGACCTCAGACAAGTCTCTTGACCTCCTTGTGCTTCAGTCAACCCATCTGGAAAGCTTGGTTTAAAAAAAGCTGAGGCTCAATAAGAACCAGATGCTGAATCAGAGCGGAGCTTTCTTGAGTAAATAAGTGCATTACAAACAACAACAAAGCCCCTTTCCAGCACGTTAGGAATACTGCAGTTGATTTAGATATGCTGACCATGCTCAAAAAGTAACCATGACTCTAGCTATAGAAAACTGTTTGTTTTGGGAAATTCCCTATTCTGTTCAACAAATAAGCCCCTTGCAGCCATTGTATGATGGGTCCAAGTAGCATGCAGTTTCTGAATGCCTGTGTTTACATCAGGTGTAGGCGGCCTGCTAGAAATGTACCCATTTGCTTTAAGTTAATGACTCTGAAAATGTCCGGGAGGAAAAGTTACTTTCCTCTGAAAGTGAAACTGGTTGCATTTTGCATATTTTTTCCCCTGTGTATCTCATGAGAATTATTGAGATCTCCTCTGAGATGCTTCTGCTTATGCAACAATGCCAGTGTGTGTTGTCAAAGAGTTCTCAGCGTGGGGCAATGGGTGCACAGCACTGCGAGTTGTTTGTCCCAAAATGCATCAAGCGTTCTCCATGGGAGACACTCAGGACATCCAGGGAATTTTTTGGTAAAGCTTTTTAACTGGAATGGTTTATTGGAAAAGGTACTTTATGATAACTTTTTTTTTCCCCCCTAAAAAAAAAGGTAATATGGTAATGCAGAGATTCACAATTTATCCTGCAGCTGAACCTTTCACAGCAGCAACTCCTAGCTTTGCCCATACTAGCAGCCTCTTTGAGACTTGTTAAATGCTTTCATCCTCTTGTTTCCTGAGTTGGTAAGTGCAGTACAGCAAGATCTCTGCTGCTAGATGGTGTTTGCTAGACTCAGCTGCTGCTGTGCAAAGCAGTGGATCTCCTGTTTGGCTCTGCTGTCTGTGGAATGCCAGTTGACCCATGACTTGAATTTCTGGCTGAGGATGTAGGAGTATGGCAAGGAAGAAAGTACCAGGTTAAGTTCGGTAAATGGGTCAGAGGATGGATTGGGAAGCCCGATCGGGAGGGCAAGGGATTATAGGGTAGATATGAGGTTGGGAAGATGTAAAGCAAAGTACTTACAGGACTATGGAGTTGTGATCTCAGGCTCAAGGAATAGAGCTCATAGAAAGCTGAGAAGATCATGCAGTGGAGTGGGGAGACAGATGTATTTTTTGTTTTCTTTGATCTTTCAATTTCTGACAAATAGCAAATAGTTTGTCAGAAGGAAGAGGTGGCTTGGAAGCACCTTCTCTTATGCCTAAGAATGGCATGGGGGCCTATTGCCCCTTGCCTAGCCACTGGTCTGATCTTTCCCAAGTCCTGCTAGCTGTGGAGCAAACTTGACAAACAGATTAATAGAAACTTCCTGGACCAATTTCAAGTCTGATCTGAAACAATATTCTTTGAAGCGTTGCAAGGAAGTGGAGAACAAGAACACAGACAGTGGCATAATTTATTCAATGACATAACTATCTTCCATATTTTGAACATTAAACACAGTTCTGGTTCCCTTCCTCCAAAAATTTTACAATAAAACTGGAAAATGTTCAGAGAAATGTAAGAAGGGGCAACTTCTGTGTGAGAAAGGAATGAATGAGCTAGAACTCTTAAGCCTCAAAAGATGCAAAGTGAGGAGGATATGGCAGAAAACAGAAATCAAATGTGGCTTGAAGGAGGTGGGTAGACTCAGTATTTCTCCTGATATAAGAACTATATAAGCTAGTAGGAGCCAACTCAGTCTAAATGAGGTCGTTTTTGTGCAGTAGATAATCTGTGAAACTCCTTGCCATGGGATATTGTGCATGCCAGCACTTCACCTGGTTTTAAGGGGAGTCTGGACAAGTTTCTGACTCTTGAAGGGGTCACTCAATAGGTAGAAGCCCGGTCTGGCTCAGGAAGTCCTAATGCTAAATGCTGAAAGAGTATTAGGGGGAGCTCTTGCACATTCTTGCTCTGTGTTTGCTTAGCTGAGGCAGCAACGCAGAGCTGCTTGCTACTGGGGGCAGGGCTAAATGAACCTAGATATGACGCAGTACAACCATTATGCATTTGTTTAATAAAACCACAAAACTTTTCTATTAGCCTATTTTTTTCTCACCACCTTCAGCAGACAAAAGATTTCAATGTCTTTATCGCCTCTCTAAAATAGGGAGTAAATAGGGGGTAATTTTTAAAAAAACAAAGCTTCCTGCTCGGGTCTGATAGAGGAAGTGGTCAGAGGATAAGGGAGCCTGGTGGGTGTCAGGAGAGGCATGAGAGCTGCTCTAACTGGCTGCTGTGAATTCTTCACTTGGCAGGAAATGAGGGAATGAAATGCTTTAGGGCAGGGGCTACAAACTTAAAATATAAAGATTCTCCACAGTATTTTATATATATTTATATATACATATATTTGGGACAGTACCAAGTGAGATATTGGTGAACTGATTATACTCTACATTTCTAACTTTACCTGCAATATCATTCAGTGGTATAAATAACTTAGAGTACTTATTTTTTTCCTCCTGTAAAATCTCACTGTTTCATAGACTGCTGCATTTCCTAGAGTCCTGGAGCACCCTGCTAGCTAGAACAGTGGCAATGTGCTTTCTACTTGTAGCGCCTTGCCACAGTTGAGACACTGTTATTCAGTTAAGAAACAATTGCAGTAATATCCCATTTTTATACTTATATACACCCACACATATACATGTGTGTGTACATATATATATATATAAAAAACAGCAATGGAGACTAGGAAGTACAAGTCTTAACTTGTCTGAGATCACATAGTGATTGCTGGTGGGAACCCAATCGTTTGGCCTCCAGTCCTCTGCTTGGATGGATTGATCTTGCTAAGATACTGCCATCTTGTCGGAGACTGATGAGATGTTTGGAGCGATTATTTCTGGAGAGGCGTGTGTGTGTTTGTATTTTGCGCAATTAAGTTTTACGGTGGAAAGGCAGGAAAGCGTGTGCCGAACTGCAGAGCCCTCCTTTGTTCCCAGCCTTTGAGGAGGAATGTCCCACTAGCCTTTTATAGCGTCTTATTTTTATTTTTTTGGTAGCTCCCCATGCCAATGGCAAAGGAAACTTTGAGGACGGCAGGCAGCAGAAAGAATAACAACAGGCTAAAAATAAAAGCAGTGAGGCAACTTCTACGAGCCCTAATTAGCTCTTCTGATGTAACGGGTCACACGGCGTGGGCGCGGGGCCGCGAGCGAGCAGGGCCCG